GCTAAGCAAGGTCTTACTTCCGCTGTACATATGGAAATAGTATGGCACTCCAGTCTCTGTTTTCGCTTCAACCCATACTGTTTCCGAATCTGTTTCGCTTTTTGTTTCTTCAGCACTGGGCTCCGTCTTTCTTTGTTCCATTTTTTGCTATAAATTGGTTAAATTAAACAACCCACTTTCATAAATCTTGTGCAAAACTTCTTCCGTCCGTACTCATCTCGGAAACGTCAGTTATTAAGTTATCAGTGAAGTTGGCGTAGATATGCAGGCGAAGAACGGGGACTATTTATGGGGCTACAATTTTTGAGGAAATTTCATCTTTTTTGTTAAAAATCAACAAATTAAACGTACTTTCCTTCGCAGCGCCATTTGGTGAGCCATCGCAGCAACAGATGCACTATGTGCGCGTGGATCCATGTAAGTCTTCGATTTCGGTGATGGACCGATCATTGCACCTGCAATTATTTGAAATCAGATAGCCCCTTACCTATATCAGTCCCAATCCCAACACGATGACGTCTGGAAAGAGATGTATCAATGCTCAGGATGTGCATAAGCTGGAAAATGATCATGATAAAAAACTTTTGGACAAAACAACTTTTGGACAAAACAAACTTTTGGACAACTTTTGCCCAATTTTTGGACAACTTTTGGACAACTTTTGAACTTTTGGACAACTTTTCGACAACTTTTGGACAAACAAACTTTTGTCCAACTTTTGGACAAAACAAAAGCAAACATGGTGTCGTGGATGTGCTTTCTGCCATACTTTTGCATGCCGCGGCTTCCATCATCGACAGAGTTGCTTGCAAATCACTCTGCTGCAATGCAGCAAAATAAAATCGCATATTTTCATCCACCGATAAAAAAAAATAAATTTTGTAAAAACTGTACATCACCAGCTATGCCCACAGTATCAAAGCATCGATGTTAGTACGGTATTCGCATGTCGTTCTCCTTCTCTTCTTTTTCTTTCTCCTCAATTTTTATCTTACCTTTAATTACACCTGTTTGTATTAAGCCTCTGGACTCCAAAATGCCTATTCCCAGTCCGCTTTTATTCAACGCCGCACATACCAGAAATTCCCGGGGTCACAGGTGCCGTTCCCGGGCTAGTAATTTTCGCGCCAAAATTTCCACGTGCCCGCACATGGGCCCGGGTGCTTCTAAACACCTGATTTTGCTCGTACATGAGTAGGGGACATTGCCCTAAAGTTTCAGCTTTTCACGGATAAAAATTACTCATTAGTTATCAGAAAAATGAGTATCATTTCCTGTCCATAATAGTTTAATGGATATGCATATTACCCTTCCTTCACTACTTTCCTCTCTTTCCCCTCTTCCATTCGACCAAAAAAATAACATTCTTCATCACTCGTCGCTTACCGCTTTTTCCTTCTGTTTGTTTTGTTTGCCCAATTCACGTATTTTGGCCTGTACTGCAGCTTTATGCTTCTGCCCATTTTCGTGGTGCTCGATACTCACTCGATTATCAGCAAACCATACCTGCAACACAGGGAATCAGCTCTGATCTGGAAAGTGAGTTTTTTTTTTCTTTTTTTTTTATAAAAACGCTACTAACAACTGCTTGCCCAATCAAAGGATATTTTTTAGCATCATAGAACGTGTTTATAGACTTTTTACAGATACAAAACAGTTGCAACTCTTCATAACTAAGAAAAATACGGGTTTTCAATCGTCCTCTTCTTTCCCCCCCCCCCCCCCCCCCCCCCCCCCCC